AGCACCCCCATTTCAAGACTTCTAGATCCGCCACTGTAAATATAATAAAAACATGCAAATATTATAAATTTGTGAGAAAATTCTTGCTTGTTTGTGGCTGTCCCATTTCTGAGAGACTTCCGCGACTTCCGGGAGACTTGAGACACATGCTGTTTGTAACCCAACCTAAAAGGAATACAGACCCAGGGTTTGTATCAGGGGGCTTTTAAGTAGCCATTAGCAGTATTGTTTCTATGCCACCAACCTGTCTGTGGCTCCTCAAATTGTAACCGACTGGTCTACTTTTAGTCCGTGCTGTATGCCTTGGTAGTGGTAAGGACTGGCGCAGTCTTGAACTGACATCATCCTGATCCATATCTCTAGGATTGTCTGAGTACTGCAATGAGTGGGAATACCTTGAAGGCATCGGTTGTTCATCCATATCGTTCGCAGGCGGTGGACAGGTTAGTGTATGCGATGCCTTTGAGATCCTATTACCTATGTTTCCATCCCTTTCAGGTGGAAATTTCTGCCTATCTGTAAAAATATCCAAACAACTATAGATATAATAAACAAGATTAAATGGATTATGATAAAATTGTAACTGGCACTTATTTATTCTGGAATATAATTTCAAAATGAACTATTGTAGAAAATGAACAAACAAGATGTAGCTTACATGTATGCAGGCTTAATACGAAATACAAACTATATTCAAATCAAATTCAAGAACAAAGGCTATAGATTTTTTATTCAAATATAGTACAAAAAAAAAAGAATTTACAATCAAAAACAGCTTCCTACCATCTGATGAATGAAAATGATGATGAGTATGGATGTGACGACGAACTCGCTCATCCTCCTTGGAGGTCATTTTACTGCTGTTGCTCAGCCTTTCTTCCTGGTGGTCTTTACGGAAATGCGGGTGTGACGTTGGTTTAGGCCTGACACCAAGGCTAGCAAATACATTCTCTTTAGGCTTCTCCCTCATCATTGTTGATACTGGGAGATGATGTTTGGTGGCTGATGGTGGTGATGTTGATGTCAGAGAACTTGACACCTCCTTTTAATAATATAAATAATTATTTTTATTGGTCCACATTCAAATTGGAAATTAGGGCTGGGCCCCTGGAAACCCTGGCAGCCGTAGTGCAGCGCTACTTAAATTAACTACAACACATAGCGGACACATACGGATACAAACATTGTCAGACTCCAATTAAACCAAACTCTGGCTGGGTTTGAACAAACCCAATACAAAAAAAATAAAAGCACAATACTGCTCGGCCACTCAGCTATTAGGTATAAATGAAAAAAATAAATAGTAACTGAATGGTATCAGGTGTGATACATACATGTTACTCTAGATATCTTTTTATGAGGGAGTGGTTGATAACTAATATGAGGCATGTCCTGGCAAAATGGTTAAGTTGTCGCACAGATCAGTATTGAGTGAAGGAGCTATAAAATATGGTAGCTCAAAAAATTGCCTAAAAATCCAATTTTTTTTTCACTATAGATCAA